TGTAGACTTGTATTCTTTATATCACATCATAGAGCTTTGTTCACAGTAGAAAGAATAAATGAATAAAAGACAGACAGCATAATACTGAAGGAGATACCAAGAGAGTTATCACAAACTCATCTTCATTGCTTGTGAAAAGATAACCTAGGAAGCAATATTTGTAACAATTTTCTGAGCTGGAGGTCAGAATACACCAGTACTGTCCCGTTTGGGTTCTCAAGCAAAAATTTTCAGCATAATAGGGTTTTTGTACAACTGAAAAAGGGTTTTTGCATTAAAATTCTGGCTTTCACAGTTATTAAAGTGGAAACATGGTTAAATGACAAAAGCAACTAGCTTGTTTCAGTGTATACTTACAGATCTTCCTATCAGAGGCTATTGTAGGGTTTATCATGTTGACAGCAGTCAGAATTGTCTTTGAGAAAATCCACGTACAACTTATATTTTCAAGATTATAAGCATAAAGTTTCTGAGCCAGAAATGACTCTGCTACTCCAGGATTCTAGTGTCCCTAAAATCAACCACCATCCATTAGTTGAGCACCGCTATAATCAAGGCACTGTGGGTAAGCACAACATTTTCAGGCATTGTCCATTTTACACCAAGGGACTTAGTCTAATCAAGGCATAGACGTACATAAAACACTGTCAATACGAGAAAATATACTGTAGGTGCTATATGAAAAGTACAGGTAATAAATATTCTAGAAATTTAGAGGAGATAACTCCCAGACATGTAGCATCAAGAGACTTTGAATTTAATGATTCTTGTTTCCTCCCTTCCTTCTTTCTCTTCTCTTTCTGGCTTGCAAGTTGAATTAACATGGCCAATCATGCTAGAAGAGAAATAAATAAGTTTAATATGTCATCCCATTTCAGCTGGCTTTAATTGTCTGAATTCCTTTTAGGAAAAACTTGTAAGGCAAATAAAGAACTTCCTGCCACACTGTATGAATACCATCTGGCTTAAAGTGGAATCCTGGTGGTCTAAGTCCATTCACAAGGAAAGTACAGTTCACCACAACTATTCTGGAAGAGCCTGGAGGTGGAAGGAGTTGCAGCATTTCTCATCAGAAATGTCAAATGAGGAAAAGGACCAGAGATGAACTGAATAAGCAATATCTCTGAAGAACCAGAGCTTTTATGCATTTCAAAGTATTCTGGTAAAACACTATTCGTAGTTGGGCAGAACATGAGCTGTGGAATAAAACTGATAGGAAGGAATCAGAAAGAACACATAAGAATTCTGTGTGAGGACCGTCCATGACACCAGTACATAAATCAAAATTTGCAAATGTTTGAATATTTTCTCAGCATACTCTGTAATTACTAAAAACTATAAAGGGCATTTAGTAACATGGAAACATGCTTGTGAAATGCTAGACATTTAAAATATCAAGATGTAAATTCAATTGTACAAAATGGAAAAAGTGCAAATGGTAAAGACTGGAAAGAGTTCAGATTACCAAACAATAAAAGTTGTGTGGGATGGTGGACTAAATACAATTTTCTTTTTTTCCCATAGTTTTCGTAACTAGATTACATTAATAATTTTTTAAAAACAGTACCTTTATTCAACCAATATTTCATGGTTTCCTAATATTTATGAGACTTTGTGGTGGATTCAAAGATGCATTACATATTATCTCTACCCTCAAGGAACCCTGAATCTATACGAATGTAAGACATATGAAATTTCACAAATAGAATGTAATGGGTAAAGTAAGACAGAGCCATAGGGATTCAGATGAAAAACATTCACACAAGACTGTTGTGATCATGAAGGCTTAATGGAGGAGAAGGTGGAGTTTGAACTGAACCTGGAAGGACAGCATTTTAACAGTGTCGGGCATAAAATGGCGTTCTTTTGGAGAAAATGTACAAGCAAAAGGGAAAAGATGGAAACACATAGGCTAAGTTTGTGAAACAGCAAGGGTTCACTTTTTAAGGGAAAATGTGAAAGAAAGTGTAAAGGAAAATGTGACTTGAAAGTGAGGTCGAGGACAGATTTTAAGGTCTCTTGGAGCTAGGCTTAAAGTTGGACTTAGTTCTTCAGCCATTGCATCTTAATAACTGATATGTGTATTTTATTTCAGAGTTTACAAGGTGCAATGTGTTTTCATATCCTTTACATCTAATCCTCACAATAATGTTTTAAAGAAGAGACTGAAGTTTGGTCCAGCCCAGTTGCTATTACCTACTAAATATAAGACATGAAACATACAGTTTAGCCATTCCCTAAAGTAGATGCTTCTCTGGGATTTGGAAAAGATGAGCATATTTCTTTAACCACTCATGATATCTGGTCAGCACTAGAACTTTTGGGGATTCAGGGTATTTGGAAGAAGCTCTGCAGCAACTAGAGTTTGACTCAGGAGAAGGTGCTGATAGAGGTTACCTCAAGAGGGCTTTTTCTGGTGTGCTGCATTAGCATGGAGAGACGAAGATCCAGTGGAGAAGAAAGCAATCCTATTACTCTTGCTTTCACGCACTACTAGGGAGGATCAAAAAATCTTTTAATTGTGAGTTTAACCATCAATAATGATAGATATGGCTGGGAAGCATTAAAGTAAATTATCCCTAGCTTGCAAGCTTCAGGAATTAGCTCCTGACTTTGCCTGGGGGGCTGCCCACCTGCTACCTCAGCTACATGCCTTAATTTCTCCTATTATCTCCCATAGCCTCTCTCCTTGTTGCTGTTGTTAGGTGCCGTTGAGTCAATCTGGACACAGAGTGGGCCTATGTAACAGAGTAGAACTGCCCCACAGGGTTTTCTAGGCTGTAATTTTTATGGGAGCATATTGCCAAGTCTTTCTTCTGCGGAGCTGTTTGGTGGGTTTGAACCGCCAACCTTTTGGTTAGCAGCCAAGTGCTTAACCGTTGTGCCACCAGGCTCCTTCCTCTCTCCTTGTCCTGCATAAATATTTTGAGATTTTTTAAAAACAGAATAAAATTAAATACTATGTATTTAGATAATTGATTTAATTCACGTATTCTTTGGAGAGTGTGCAGGTATTATTTAGTACATATGGTGCTTATAGTAATTTCTATAAATATCTTGCTATTAGAGCCTGGATGAGTTACTCCTTATTCTAACAAATCAGATTCAATTCATTTGATTTTTAACTCACAATATTTTTCCAGAAGTATTCCATGAATTTTAGCATTGGCCATACTATACACATTTACATATTGCTAGGAAGCAAAATAAACTTGCAAAGCATATCTGAAGAGTACAAATATTTAGGCATTTACCTATTACAACCTTTCAAAGAATTTAATGTAGAGATTTATACATATGCTTTATAAGTAGGAATATAAGAGACAGTTGAGTTAGTACATAAAGTTTTTATTTAAAGTTTTTCCCTTCCAAGCAAGCTTCATTTACACATTCTAATACTGTACAAAATTTACATTCTCTGTGACTTACTCACTTTTCACTTTCTAATAGGTTGTTTCTTTCTGAAAAACTATAAGCTTTACTTATAGTTCTCATAAATGCTTTTATTTATTTTGGCTAAAAATAAAAAATAAATTGAAGAACCAGTCTAAGGAAAGCAAATATTCTCATATAAACTGGGACTTTCAGAAGAAATGGTGACAGTTGACAAAAAAGATTCTGATCGGACCTTGTTCTATTTATGATATCAGCTGGGTTTTTCCCTCAAAGTACTGTAACATTTCTTTTTTTCTATATATTTCATATGCTTTCAAGGAAAAAGAAATGAAAGTGGATTGCACTGCATATATATATTTACATATATATATTTTACAACGGATCCTTTGGATCTGAACATACAAATAAATACAAAAACAATGAAGATTGCACTTTACTGTACAAACGGCATTGGATTCCAGTATACCCACTCCATCTTGACATGCTCCGCAATAAAAGCTTATCCCCAAGGCATTTTAATCTGTGGCTTCCCCATATTGTTGTTTTCAATGGCACATTTTTTGAGGGATTCAGCAACATCTCTGAGTGATTAAAAAGAAGTATTTTATGCTTTTATTTACTCCTAACTGTTGTTGTTTAATCTCTCAAATAACAAAAAAACAGAACAACAAAAAACCCAAACCCATTGCTTTCGAGTCAATTCCGACTCATAGCAACCCTACACGACAGAGTAGAACTGCCCCATAGAGTTTCCAAGGAGTGCCTGGTGGATTTGAACTGCAGACCTTTTGGTTAGCAGCCATAGTTCTTAACACCACTACGCCACCAGAGTTTGTTTAATCTCTTAAGAGTTTGAAAATCAAATTCAAGTTCCTGCCAGTTTTGCCCATTTGATTTGCCAAATGGAGACTATCTCATGCTCTCCTGTCCTTCTGCTCCTAGATTCCTCATAGTCCTAAAGGCAATATAGCAGTTGCTCACTTAACTGGGTTCAGGCATCACTGGTGACAGTAAAGAAAATATGATGAGTCCCAACCACCTGGAGTAAAGGAGAATGAAGAACACCAAAGACACAAAGAGAGTATTAGCTCAAGAGACAGAAAGGGCCGCATAAAACAGAGACTTCATCAGTCTGAGACCAGAAGAACTAGATGGTGCTCGGCTACCACCAATGACCACCCTGACAGGGAACACAACAGAGAGTCCCTGATGGAGCAGGAGAAAGATGGGGTGCAGAACTCAAATTCTAGTGAGAAGACCAGACTTAATGGTCTGACTGAGACTGGAGGAATGCTGGAAAGCATGGCCGCTGGATTCTCTATCAGCCCAGAACTAAAACAATTTCCCTGGCCAACTCTTCAGACAGAGATTGGACTGGACTGTGGGACATAAAGTGATGCTCGTGAGGAATGTGCGTCTTAGCTCAAGTAGATACAAGAGACTAAACAGGCAGCTTCTGTCCGGAGGTTAGATGGGAAGGCAGAGAGGGTTAGGAGCTGGTTGAATGGACATGGGGAATCAGGGGTGGAAAGGAGGAGTGTGCTGTCACAGTATGGGGAGAGCAATTAGGGTCACATAATAATGTATGTATAAATTTTTGTATGGGACACTAACTTGAAATGTAATCTTCATTTAAACTACAACAATAAACAAACAAAAAAAGAAAATATGATGAATTGGAGGAGTATTGAGGGTAAGTCATGTGCTTTTCCTGAGCATTCATTTAAGCAATATCGTGTTTTTTGGGGACAGAGAGCCAACTGAGATCATACTTAAAAGGAATTATTCATTCTTTTTGTCGCTAAATATCTGACAGGAATTTCCCAGTTTTTATAATGGTTGGTTAAGTTTGGGTCAGATGTGTTGACCAATAGAACCTCTTCAAAATTGTATAACTTAATTTGTCAGGCAAATAACTGGTATGTTTGCTGCTTAGATACTACAGAAAATACAGAAAACGAGAAAGCACCAGCCTCCATGAACTGAATAGTGGCGTAGTGTATTTTGTTTTAATCTTTCAGATAAGGTTGAGGACACAAACATTATGACTCTGGCTAACCTAGAACCCATAGGGCAGAAAGCAATTGCTACAGGAGACATCTTTTCTTCTCTGGTCCCATGAGGTGTTGTAAGGGCAGAAGGTATATAAAATGAAGTTGTATAGAAATGAAAATGCCCCTCTTTAATCTTATACGATTTTCTAGACTGTGTTGCTTATGGAGTCTGTGAAGTAGCCAAAGGTTAGGAATACAGAATCAAGTGGCAATTTCTGTAATGCTGTGTACGTCTTTAGGTGGGTCAAATTTTGAATCGTTCATGAACACAATATCCCCAAAACTTCAACATAGATCGCATGCAGGTAGACTACAATGCACAATACTGATCTTAGGTTTCTCTGGGGGAAGTCTTCAGTATTTTATCTCTCTCCTTTTGAAAGTTAAAATCCACGTGAGAAGTTTTTTTAAAGCTGGGACAAGTTAAAACCAGTCTGAAATAGAAGAGTTTGTCACCACGGGAAGTTTGGTGTGATCCGAGTTACTGACACAGTATCTGTTCAAGAACAGGTCACTTTCATTTGTGGTTACTTGTAAATCATTCATCAGAAACCAAGGGTGGGTTTCGGCGGTTGGATCATTAGAATGCATTGTTTCAATCATAATGGCGATATCACTTGTCATTGCTTCCCAGAATGCGGTAATGTTCACTCCAAGGCTTCCTGGTGTTATTTGTTGTACGGTACACAGGCGGGCAGGATGACTGTTGCACAGGCAGGGCCCGCGAGTGGTTCTGCTACATCGCCTTCGAGTTCTGTCCAGGTTCCTTTCTCTGGACAATAGCATATTGTAGATGACTTGTAGGCTCCCTGTAATGGTAGAGCACGGAGCACATAGAGGAACATGTTCAGAGAAGTACAATGGCGGCATTATTTACCACATTTACACTGGAAAGAAGATACCTTCCCTGCTCTTGCTAAAAAATTCTAAATAAAAGCCATGAATTCTGGTTGTTTTACTCCAAGGGACAATTTGAAACTCTCAAGATTTCCAGAATCTTTTTTGTGTGTTTGTGTAACTAATAACAAAAGTCAAGTACCTAGAACAGCCTAGATGTTCAAATTCTTTGAAATAATTGATCAAAAACTGAAATTATACAGCCGGTTTAAGTGAAAGAAAAAAGCCAAATTCACCTTCAATATTCAAATAATTAAAGTAACTAGATTTTCGATTGTTGCTTCACTTCTCCATTTTATTTTGCTACTGTAGGGAACCAGAGCTGGGATTCAAAACCCGTTTTAAGTAAAACTGGATATGAAGGTATGCCTCCTTACCACACATTGATTCACTTATTTTCAAGAGGCCACCCAAAAATTGAAAATGTTTTTAGTGTTGTTTTCTTTGTCAACCTCAGGGGCTAGTACTTGTATAACATTTTCCTCCCTCAAACCAAAGACTCTGTTTTCATTACAGACAACAAAAACACAAACAAGCAAAAAACAACCAACCTAATAATCATTTTCTGAAAACATATTCCTAGTGCCTGGTTCCTAAGCATGTATACCTTTCTGCAGCTGGCAACTGGCACCAGTAAATAAGCACAATATGACTATCTGGTTATCTGTCAATACAAAGTTGCCTCCATATAACTAATAACTTTTTAAAACTCCCCCAAAACTTTTTATCACCACCTTGTTTGATGCAAAAGAAATAAAAGTAATTGATATCAGAACCCCAAATTAACCTTATAAAATTAACATGTATAAATAAAAAAAAAAAAGGCCATCATTTTAAAAGTTCATAGCTAGACAACTAGACGCCATGTGCCTCCTGATGTGATGTAATTTGAACTGCACAGTCACCTCCTCAGGCGTTCTTGCCAACAAAGGAAAACAAATAACAAAAGAAAAAAGAAAAAGAGAAAAAAGCTGATCCATAAGACCTTAGCTCTAATTCCAGACTATAGGAAATATGCAGACAGGACTGTTTTGAATGACACCACAAAGAAGTCATTAGGTGATTCCAGAACATAAGATACTCTCAATGATAACTAGCCCTGTTTTTTCAACAAGACAATGGAATGGAAAAAAAAAAAAAAGTGGGCCAGGGGTACTGTTTTCACTAGACATAATACCTTGTGACTTTAACTTACTGTACTTACTGAGACATAATGACCAAATATGAGTGGAACTTGTCAGATTTTGAGCTGAACATACCAACCTGAAAAGTACATTTTTTTTCTAAGTCAGTGGGAAAAATGTGAATATGGACTGGATGTAAAGGAATTATTGTTCACTTTGTTAGGTGTGATATTGATAGTGTGCTTATGTAAGAGAATGATTTTTTTTTTTTTTTTTTTTTGAGATACATAGTAAGCATTAAAGGTGAAATAACATGATGTCAGGGATTTGCTTCAAGCTGTTTTAGTCAAAAATTTTAAAAGGGGGGATAGATGAAGTAAGTATGGCAAACTGTTGATGGATGTTAAAGCCGGATGGAGAGTTAAAGAAGCACTCTTGTAGTCTCAATTTTTGTGTATGTTTGAAAATTTTCATGACGAAAGAAAGAAAAAAGGTAAAAGCAATGGTAAATTACACATCCTAAATAGCATTCATGGACACTGACCAATTAATTGCCATTTCTCATCCCTTACTGGTCAGAAACTGTTCAGATTCTCCTATTCATTCAACAGAATGCTTACAAAATCACTTCAGTTTGACTTCTAGTTGGAAAGCCAGAATAAAGAAGCTTGAGGATAGGCACAGACCAGAGACCTATCCTGTCCTGTGTTACAGTTGAACAGGCAGCAAGTTAGCTCTAGGGCAAACTAACTGATTCTATTTTACTACTTCAAGTAACTTACCGCTTGCATATGAGCATGATACTCTTAAAAGATAAAGATGCGGGCAATAACACATTTGGAGGGAAACAAGCAGAAAAAGTAAGCACAAACACAAGTAGGACGATGAGGCAAGTGTGGGCACGCACCATGCTCCAGCTATAGCCACCGACAAGGTAAATGCTGTCATCAAGCTCTGCACAGCCAGGACCACTTCGGCCCTCCAAAATGGGGGTCTGGAGAATGTTCCACTGGTCACCTTTTGGGTCATAGCATTCCACAAGCATGACATCAAGGTGGGAGAAACCTGAGTGACATAAGCAAAATGGAACCGCATGAGAATAAATTTTCAGGGTCCCAATTCAAGGCTAGGCCTTCTTAAAAAAAAAAAAAAAAGTTTAGAGCCAGCAAATACGCAATTGTGTATTTGAAGACTCATAAATGTATAAATTAAAAAATGCTATGCATTGACCAGAAGAACTAGATGGTGCCCAGCTACCACCAATGACCACTCTGACAGGGAACACAACAGAGAGCAGGATAAAAGTGGGGTGCAGAACTCAAATTCTAGTAAAAAGACCAGACTTAATGGTTTGATTGAGACTGGAGGGACCCTGGAAGACATGGTCCCCAGACTATCTGTTAGCCCAAAACTGAAACCATTCCTGAGGCCAACTCTTCAAACAAAGATTAGACTGGACTATGGGACACAAAATGATACTCATGAAGAGTGTGCTTCTTAGCTCAAGTAGATACATGAGACTAAATGGGCAGCTCCTGTCCAGAGGTGAGATGAGAAGGCAGAGAGGTCAGGAGCTGGTTGAATGCATACGGGAAATCTGAGGTGGAAAGGAGGAGTGTGCTGTCACAGTAAAGGGAGAGCAACTAGGGTCACATAACAATGTATGCATAAATTTTTGTATGAGAGACTAACTTGAATTGTAAACTTTCACTTAAAGCATAACAATAAAAAAATGCTATGCATTAAATAAGCTTTATAAAAAAAGCAAAAATAGAAGGAATTTGCGAATCATAGATGGTTTGATAGTCAAGACTTAAAAGAAATAATTCTAAATTTAGACAAAGTTTTACTGAATGTTTTCTTTAAGAAAAACCCCGTATTAGCTTCTTTGTGCAGCTATGATTAAAGTTCTTTATGATTACTGCTAAAAAACGTTTTTCTGAGAATAAATCCATTACTACCACTTGGTGATAAGGGATAATTTATTTCACTGAATTCATTGTTATGACAAATTGTTTGTGCTTTTCAGTTATTAATGTTCCTGTTTTTTCCTTTCTGTAGACTTCATTATTCATTTCTTTAATGTGTATGGAAACTTAAGAATAATCCTATCTGCAGGAAAGCCAAAATAAATGCTTGCTCAAGGGTACTGCTAATTTACACATAGTAAATTTTATTTGGTCAACAAGTTTTTTACTTGGTTAACTATGATGATCTAATGAGAAACCCCCTTAGCAAGAGACATGAGATGCAGATGTTACTGTGATTAGAAAGAAAGGGAAAAAAAAAAAAAAAAAGAGAGACCTTTCAAATGATTTCCTCCAATTGCATACAAGCGATCATTCATTACAGCCAAAGTGTGGATTGCGCGTTTTGTGTTCATATCTTGTTTTCGAGCCCAGACATCCATTACAGGGTCATAACAGTATAGCCATGGGACATATTCCCCATTGTGAACACCCCCTGCGAATTAAACGTATATATACAAGTCAAGAAAGTGCCTTGGAACTGAACTTTGAAACAGAAAGTGGAGGGATGACTTGCCTGAAATGTATATTTTCCCGTTGTGCACTGCTCCTGCGTGAGCTGCCAGGGGCTGTGGCAATGAGGACACATAACGCCATTCATTTGTTTCTAGGTTATAGCACTCCACGCTGGACAAGTAGCCAGTTTCATTCCTTCCACCAATCACATATAAGTGTTTGTCCAACCGACATGCATAGAAACTGGCTCTTCTACAGTGAAAACAACAATGCATAGTAAATCACAAAAGGAACTATGAAATAGGATAAGGGCCACTCAGTTAATCAGGGAAAGGAGGTACGTTGTGCTTCAGAAAGGGTTGCAAGCTTTTAGAATCTACACACATAGCTACCCAGTACATCTGAGACCATACACAGTAATCATATGTATTGCCCATTACGGCTAACACTTTTGATATTAAAGTAATAGTAAAGAAGAAATTCACCAACTCTTTTTATCTTGCCTTTTATACACTGTTAAAGCATCCATTAATGTTTGGGATATTTGGTACCTTGTAAGGATAGCACAGCTCAGTAAGACATACTGAAAAATGAGGTAGATAATGTAACAATAATAAATTATCTTGACATTCACTTTCTTTATGGTCCTTCAAGGGTCATTGTTCCCAATTTATAAGAGAACTACATCATCAAAAATTTTCTTCAATTATCATTTTTTTCTTTTTATCCCCCCTAGTACTACTGCAAATAGAACAACTTTTGTGAATTGCATATAATGTTCAGATTTTGCTTTTATATAACCAGTTATAGGAATTTCATCTAAGCAGCTTTCGATGCTGATTCTTCCAAGGCTAGAGGATACTTATCGAGTCCATTTTCATGACAGGCTGTGGACTTGAATCGTATACCTTCAAAGGCAAAAGATGTAAACTCTGTGAAAGAATTGGAGAGAGGGAGACCAATTCTGAACCAGACCAAAAATCTAGGTGTGAGATATTGAGGACCTGAATTAAGGTGTCAGTAGAAGAAATGGAAAGGAGAGATACAAAAGTTATTTTCAAGGAACATGTGCAACTTGGTAACTAATAAGATATGGGGGCTGAGGAAGAATAAGGGTTCAAAGAGCACTTAATAATTTGGAGGTAGGATGATTCGTAACTTTAAGCATGTCCTTGATTCTTTGCATTGTTTTCTCATTGTTGCTACTGGACTAATATACTTCACAAGGTTAACATGTGGCCAAACACTGAATAAGTATAGTATAATTAAGTACCAAGCCCTTCAGAGAACATAATTCATGTTTGCTGAATTAATGGTTTCCAAAATATTGACATCAAAACTATTGTATAATGTCAATAGCAAGAAGAGGAGTCCTAGAAGTTTTTATCAGGTAAACCTATATAGTTTGGATATGTATATAGCTTCTCAATTAACATTTTAGTCTCTGGAGTCCAATTGCCTGGCTATAACATTTACTAGGTGTGTAGCCTTTAACACGTTCCTTAACCACTCTCAGCTTGAGGTCACTCATCTGTAACATGGGGATAATAAAGGTTCCTTCCTCACAGGGTTATTTGTGAATCCATATGTAAAGTGTTTGTCATAGTATCCAGCAATTTGTTAGTGCTCAAGAAGGACCAAGTAATACAGAAAAAAATCAGGCATAAAGACGTTTGCATATGAATTTTTCCTAATAACATCTAAATGATGACTAAATTCTTTTGTGTTTGTTTAGATGACTTATTATCCGTATCTGTTAAAGATAGTGATGCATTCTTTTTTTTTTTTTGGTAGCCCAGGAATTGTTAGCCATTACTGATATTTTTAAAATAATATATCAGCTATGTTTACTTTTTCTAGATTTCTTTGATGCCTTTGAAAGAAATACGTATTGTGAAAAATCCGGAAGGATGAAGAATAACAACCATAATGGAAACGGGGATGGAGGGAAAATAAAGAGAAGATGAGTCAGATTTCATAAAGCAGTAGTTGTTAACCCGGGTCTATGGCTTCTGAAGGGTCCATTGTAATAAAATGTTGTATTTTTTTAAGCAAACTAAGTTCTAGATCATAAACATCACATGATTATGCATGTGTACATGGAGGTTTCATAGTTTTTAATCGAATTGTCAAAGGGATCTATGACCTAAAAAAATTGGGAATTCTTGGCATACAGGAATAAAAAAAGAAACTAATTTAAGTAATAATATTAGGTTTAAAAATAGTTGCAAAATTAAGTGAATACAAATAGACCACTGGTTCTTTCTACTTCTCTAATCAGATTCCAATTGCTCTCTCATTGAATATGGTAGGTCAAAGTTATTTTACCAGTGTTTTGATCTTCTAAAGATAAAATGTTTCATTGAAAAGACTGATAGATGTCTAAAAAAGTCTGTCCTAAAGTAAAAGAGATATTTCTTTATACTGTTGACACAAGGGTAGGGCAGTATCCCTCTCTTACATGATTCTATGACAGGTCTTAGAGCTTCCAAAATAACTAATTTCCTTATTTCACCAATGAGCGCTCTTTAAATAACTTGGACTCTGTGGGTAGTAAGGTGCTAATGGAGAGTTCTATGCAGTACTAGACTAGGAGAGAAAATGCCTGTTAGTCATGCCAAGTATGAAAGCCCTCTACTTAATTAAGTTTAAACTGTGAAGAATAAGAGAGTGATCCCCCTTTGATAGTGTGGACTGCTTTTAGCGCGTCTGAATTTCAATTTTCTCACTTTTCTGATATGATTCCTTCCCCACTGTGACACTGAGTCAGCCTGTCAGAACTTGCTCTTCGTAGCCAAGGCCTTCTTAATTTGATGCTCTGTGTGTACTCCTAGCTTCATCCACACAGTGTCACTGTTAGGATCTAAATGAAAAAAATCAGTAGGTTTCCCTTCCTGATGAAAAGTGCATTTTTATGCGGAAATTCCAATAGAGAAGGTTTTGAGCCTCTGACTTTTTCCCTTGTGTTCCCAAAGTGAGAATTCATGAAATGCATTATAGAAACACTGAATAGTTAATGGTCTGTCAGCAGCTGTGAACACTTGCTCGAGGTTAAACTTTTACCTGGGACCGGTCTGTGGCCCTCCTCCCCTCTCATAAAGAGCTCACCTGATTTAGGCTATTTTTATTTTAATTTTGGAAAAGTTCAAGATTATTAAAGATACTAATGACATTACACTATTTATATTCGAAATTATTCATCTTCCCTCGCCCCACCCCCAGCCAGGGGCAATACTCAATGTTTCTGAGGTAAATTAAAAAACCACTAACAATAATCCCTACAAACATACTTTGAACTCTGCTTAATGTACAAATCTTACTGACCCTTAGGGTGGCTGGTTTATGCCCTGAAGCACGAGATTGAGTTACCATAACTTTATCTCAGCTTGAATTTCTAACTTTCATCATTTGATAAACAATACCACCACCATCACCACTAACCACAACACCTGATTTTTCAGACAGAATATTGTCTCTCATAAGCCTGCTAGAGACAAAAATTTTTAAATTTGGAAACATTTAAAAATATATTTTCTTGTAGTCTTCTACTTACTCTGCGAAGAGGAAAGAGGCTTTCTTGTTGTTACTGTCCAAAACTGCTTACCCACCTTGTTTTTTTTTTTTTTGAATTAGCCATGAATAAGCTCTCCATAGGAATAATGCCTTAAAATGCCAATTTTTATTGAGGAAAAATTTAAAGTCACCAAATCATTTCTATTGATCCTAGGTTACATTTCTGCCATCTTCCTCTTACTGAAGAATCAAATCCTAAATCTGAGACCAAAACAATTCACTACCATTACATTTAAATTTGTTTAATCATTTGTTAGTAAAATTCATAGTCAGCAAGCATGCAATTCATGAGCTGACCCCATGGTTTGGTAACAGTAGAGACCATTTGCATATTCCCTGCTGAACTGGGGGGGGGTCTTTTATTATGTACTTTATTATGGCCCCTTGGAAACTGACTAGGTAAGACATCCTTGGAATCTGTTGGGCCAGCTCTGTAAGAGTGGGTTACCCCACAGGTGACTTAAACTTGTTTCTGTTATTCTCAATCGGTTTGGTTACTTCTCAGTATAATTGTTTTAACTTCTCAGCATTTTGGTATCTGCAGAATGGAAGGGGGTTGGTGGGGAACTTGTGGTGAGTTTGATTCATGAATTACACAATGCAAAATTAGCTCAATTAAATGTTTCGAGAAACTTTTCTGATCTGAAGAGTGCTTCCTATATTTTAGGTTTTTTTTTTTTTTTTAACCACCAATTAATCCACACTGATAACTGATATTACCTGCTATTTTGAATGGAAGCATTGCAATGACAGCAGAATTTCATTTCATGTTATGGATTGCCGCCTGGGTCAACCAACCCATAGGAGATCCAGAGCTAGAAGATTGACCGGGCATTTGAGAGATCTGCCTTTTCCCACTCAGCTCTGTAAGGAGCTCTTTATTTGGTCTATCGAGTTGATTGCTCTAAATCTAAAAAAAAACTTCTTTTACTAGGGACCTGACATGATATACCATAATGACTTAGAAAGAAACGTTAAACAGTCCATCCTGTCAACGGTGGCTGCCGGGTGCCGACAGACCATGGCAGGTCTTTTTATCAGGTCAGTGAGCTGCTAAAAATTGTCTAAGTAGGACCCTGCCATGATAGGCCATAGTGCCTCAGAGGAAGTCATTATAGACTATCAAGTAAACAATACACATTTTAAAAAAAATTACTAATTAGGTTTTGCAGCAATACTTCCCATCCTTAGGGGCTCTACAGTGAGATAATTGACCGCGACGTGAGTTATGCCTCCCAAGCCGAAGGCGTGAAGGTTAATTATCGTGGTGTACGGCCCCCAGCAAAGAGGACTGTTGTGATGAGATGCTGATGTTTCAAACATATTATTGATATTTATTTTCTTAAAGAATTTTTTAAATAAAACTTTCTTTGAATGGTTTTAATTGAAGGGCAAAGTGATGTAGCTGCAAAAACAACAACCAGGAAATAACCCCAAAAAGAGAGACACAGGGTACAATGCAAGAAGACGTCAAGAGGCTTCTGGTTCACTGAGAAGCTCGTCAGAATATTAATTGATTTAGAATCATTTTTGGGGGTATGTTTGCACAAGATAATCCTAAAAGTGTCTGTGGTCTTTACACCATATCACACCCTATCATTTTCAGAGTATAGCTTTTAGTCTCCTGAAAGGAAACTTTAATATATATATATATATGGAATAGAATGTCAAATATTGAGTTTCTTTATGGCACAGATCCACACTGTTGTGCTGTAGTACGTTTTTGTACTACATTCATATTGTCATGCTGTAGTACATTTTTGTATGAATAATGTCATCTGAAAATTTTCTTTTAACTCGGAATTTATAATTAAGGATCTAATTATATCTCGTGTAATCTACTTGAAGTTACAATGGATATGTTAAGGTGAGGGGTCGTAAAGGATCTAGCAATGAGGATGAATGCTATAGATTCCTTAAATGACTCAACTGGGAAGAGGAAGTAGGTTGCAGCTTATCGGCAATGTCATGTTGGAGAATTTGTTCAAGACCATATCCAGACATTATTTGAAAAGGACCAAGGGTTCAGATTTTGGCATGTGAATTTGCATATGCATATTAAGACATTGGCTGATACCTAGGTAACAGCCAGGAAAGACAAAATATGTATACGTAGAGTAGCCTTCTTGTCCTTTTGTAGCTAGGAGACTTAAGTGACATCAACACTGTGTGTAGATGAGATGACACTTTCAAAAATATTAAAAAGAAAAAAAAAAAACCCTAAAAACAAATGACCAGTTGTTAAATGTCTGCTGGAAAGGCATTTAGGGAAGCAACTGTAAACAATTTGAGTCAGTGAAACTTGAAATATTTGATATTGAAATTTCTGCATTTAAATGCATATGCTTGTGAGAATGTGTCTTATATTTCAATTCTAGGATTTAAATATATTATCACTGAGAATAGTGAGGTAGCCAGCGATATTTTAGCTCTGCTTACAAAATATCAATGCAATGTAGTGACAGAAGACAAGTCACCTCTTTTTCTTCCAATATGAGGACAAATAACTGAGTTATTTGACTAGTTTTCACCATTGAATTAACAAGACAGTTAATCTCAACTGGCCAGGCCAAGCTTTGGATTTTGCTTCATATGTCTTTCATTGACTCTGTCTAGCATCCCTTATCATGGAAAACCATTCAGTACTCATGCTTCCTGTAAAGCAGCCACAGATGTTTCAGGCACAAGAATTAAACACTTACCTTTCTTGCATGGGTGGAAGTTGAATCCAGCTATTAAATCGGGGATCATATCGACTGACAAAATTTGTACTGTGTTTTCCTGTAAAAATACATTTAATACACTTCAAACTTAGATATCTTTGTTGTTTTGCACATTTAATAGTATTTTATAAGACATCTCTGCTCTTGGGTTTAACAGACAAGTTAAACAGAAGGAATACCTCCATAAATCAAGAGAAGAATAAATGTGCTACCTCAAATATTTATCCTTTTCTTCCCCCCCACCCTTGTTTTGTTTTTAAATAAGTTGGAATAAAAATAAACCAACTATAATAATAAAAGCAAGTATATTTGCCAAACTAGTTTTATCACAGTGTTAGGGTAAAAATTTATGGGTTTTGATGTTTTTGTCTTTTAAAAACATGAAGTTATTGTCTATAAATTATCAGTTCCAAGGACTGTCTTGTGTCGTTTTTCTGGTTAGAGCTCTTATTAATGATCCAGGAACTCTAGCAGTGGTAAAGTCTGTTCCCTCCCCATGGAAATAACAGCAATCACTACAATAAGACTCTGAGTTAGGCAATGAGTTTCATTTTATGTACGTCATGTAAGTCCTGGGTGTGTATTTGGGGAAGCACAGTTGCTGTGATATATCACAAGTACATTTGCTGAAATGGGAAACATGAGTCCTTGGAGCTGGTTAACCAGCTTATCCTCTCTGAGCCTAAGAAGCACAATAATGCCTCCAAGGTATTAGAATGAATCTTATTTTACATACAGATCGACATCAAAGCAAGAAATGGAAGCAGAAGAGTGTATTACATTTTGCATGTAGCACCTGAGATGACAATCATCTAAAGCACCTGAGGCCTCAGCTCTAAAAATCTGTTTTTGTTCATATATGTGTATTTAAACATTGAAATACAGGCACCAAACTTCACCACAGGGGTAAACCCATATGTTTGTATCTGTGTATGCTCACACAGGCATGTATACATAACACACTTATTAATTGCACAAGTGTATATTGAGCACCAACTATATGTTTGATGTGTTCTAGGCTCTGGGAATATATTGGTAAACAAGAAAGACAAAGCCCCTGTCTTTATACATGAATAAACAAACATGTAATATAATATTAAGTAGAGACAAATGTTTAAAGAAAGATAAAGCAGAGAGGGACAGAGGGGAGGCCAGTTTAAATAGGATGGTCACCTTTTCAATGATGTCTTCTTGAGTCATGCAAATACCTGAGAATAAGCCTCTCAGGCAGTGGGACAGGCACGTATAAAGGCCCTGGACTGGTGATGAGTTCGGCATGTTCAAGAATAGCAAGAACGCTGGGGTGACCAGGACAGAGGTCAGAGAGGTTTCAAGGTCAGAATACAGGGTGCCTTGTAGGATGCAGGGTTTTGCATTTTGTTATAAAAGCAAGAGGAAGCCATTGGAGGGTTTTCAGCAAGTGAGAGACAAGGTCTAATTCATCTCTTAAAAAGCACGCTGGCTGCTTTGTGAAAAATAGACTATAGAGGGGCCACTGTGGAAGCAGGGGAACTGCCAGAATGCTACTGCAACTGTGAAGGCAACAGATGACGGTGGCTTGAACAAAGGTGAAGACGGTGAGTTACGGTCAGGTTTGGGATCATTATATAGGCACAGACAATAAAATTTCCTGATGGATTGAATATTGGTATGAGAAAAAGTGAGTAATTAAGGATAGCTGCCAGTATTTTAACCTGAGTAACTGGATTGGAGGTCATGCAACTTTCTGAGAAGGGAAAGACCGGGGAGGAGTAGGTTGGAGGTTGGGGAGAGAAGTCATGGACTTAACCTTGAGAGGCCTATAGGATCTCGAAAGTGGAAGTGTCTGGTAGGCCACAGGCTAAACAAGCCTGAAGCTGGAAATGTGGGAGTCCTTATCCCAGAGATATTATTTAAAACTATAGGACTGATGAAACCGTCTAGGAAGAGGGTATGGAAATGGAAGATCATAGGTCCTGGGAATGAGCTCTGGGGAAGAAGAGGAAAAACTATTAATGAAAAGGAACAGTTAGAGACAAGGGGAAAACTAGAAGAGTGTGGTATCCTAAAAGCCAAGTTAAAAAGTGTTTCAAAAAGCAGGGAGCGGCCAACTGAGACTTGGCCATAGAATTTTAGCAACATCAAGGCTGTAGTGGCCTTCACAAGAGTTTCTTCAATTGACTGGTAGGGATGAAAGCCTGAGAGGAGACTGACTATTGAGGAGAGACCAAGATGTAAGAAAGTGGAGGTGAGAGGATAGGCAATGCTACTTAGGAATTTTGCTATAAAAAGCAGCAGATTATAGTTGGAGGATGCAGCATAAAGGGAAGATTTTATTTATTTGCTTGTTTGTTGTTTAACTTGGGAAATACTGCAAAGTTCTTAAGTAGGCAAGAGGGAAATGAGGAAGAGGCATTACATTAGAGTAGAAAAAACAGTCAGAGGGAAGACAGACTATACGGGTAGTGATGGAGGTAAGTGAATACATTTGTTATTAATCAGATGAAGACTTTATCTTCTGGTTACTTCTGTTCTTATTGGACTAAGAGAAGCAAGGCCATCAGCTGAAATTGAGGATGGTAGTTTTGGAGAAGGAAGCATTTGAGGAGACAGAAAGTGTGAAATAGGAGAATGTGAAATAGCTATCTCCAAGGGTAGGAGAGTGCATTGACTAGGGGAATTTAATGGGGTTGATGTGTGGTTTTATATATCTACATTTAGTTGCTCAAGGGCAGGGAAGAGGTGGAAGAGAGTTGGATTTAACCAGGACCGAGGGTTTGCTAAGCAAGTACAACGTGAGAAGGGGGTGAGAAGGGGCAGACACAGCAGGTGTATGCGGTAGAGTTATTGTTGGCATGGTGCATGGAATCTAAACACAGTAAGGAGAAGTGAGAACACCAGGCAGCGATGGAAGTGAAAACGTGCTAGAGTCCATGAACTGGGGATTCAGGTAAGGTAGAAAAGTTGTTGGAGTAGAAGGATTAGATGAAAAGGGTTAGAAATATTGGAGGTGTTGGTCAGTACGAATGATCAGATTTGAGATTTGGCAGGTGGTGCAATAATTGGGAATGACAACACCTCAGGTATGACTGTGGGAATGGGGGCAAAAGTGGGGTGGAAGGGAGGTGTGGAGGAATGGAGAGTTTAGTGTGTCGGATGACTTGTGTTATCAGCAAGATGACAGGTATTATAGTAGAGAGAAAGACAATGATTCAGGTACTAACCTTAGTGAAGGAGGTGGTATTACCAGGAAAACAGTGAACAGCTCCATATAAACGGGCAGCAGGTGGTGAAAGTCAAAGATGTCCTTTAAAGTGGCTTGGGTTTTAAGTGTTTGGAAGTGGCAATGAAGAAGGAGAAAGGCCACCTGCTCCCAGTGTTGTGGTATGTGAAGTGTGTGAGGGGAAAAATAGCTCCCCCTAGAGAGCGTGGCTGGGAAACAGTCCTCTCAGAGGATAACCAGGTTCCAATTAGAAAAGAAGTTGAAGGGACAAATCAGAGGAGAATTTAAAGATTTTAGGGATTTTGTTGATGTGAAATCATGAGTTCCAGGGATCATATTGGAGGGTGTGGATGGTTGGAGTTGGCTGATAAATTGAGTTTTATTTGGGGATGTACAGAAAGGATAATAGTGCCAGTGATGGGGATGACCCAGTGAGCTTGGGTCTCACATAGGCAGGATCCAACTAAAGGAAGGATTATGCCTGGAATGGGTTTATAAGTGAGTTTTCGTAAAATTCGCAAACCAGACACAGTGACTAGCACTTGGGTGATGTGAGAAATGGGGTTAGGAGTGGCAATTTCCAGCCAGTGGTAGAGGGAAAGGAAGTGAGAAGGAAAGGAGGTCCCTCATGGGGACCTCTTGTTTTGGGTTCAGTTGTCAATAAGTAACAAATGTTAATTGGATCTCTGAAGTAGGAGCACTGACAGAACATATGCATATACGCTGGAATACTATAATGCATTCCTATCACTAACGACATGAAAGGAGTTAACATCTGTAGCTGAGAAGAAAAACTGATATAGGGATTCTGCTTATATTTCCAGTAACTAGCATATTTTCTGATTTCAACTTTTGGTCTTGTAATTAAGATCATCAATAAATAAAATTATATTTGTGTGTTACAAATATGTATATTAGTATGTATTGAAATTTACAATTTTGTATTTCATTCAAGGAAGTTCATCTCAGGCACCATTTTCATAAGAACTAAAGTTTTAACTTAAGATTTCATATTTGGAGAGGATATATAACAGTTGAACCCTTAGATTTTTAATTTTTCTCCCTGCCAGCAATGAAATTCAAGCATGTTATATACTATTATAGGATTGTTATTCTTTATGAATTTTGGTATCAGTTGAGATGATCGAGTACCTTCATGGTCTTCTAAATGGGAAATGAAGAGTTCTTTGTGAGTGGGAGTCACTTTCCATTGTGATGCAATACTAAATTAATTTCTCAAGATAAAGGGCAAAAACATGATTTTTGTTATATATCTAACCAAATACATACGTTTATGTGAATGGTGGTGTAGTGAAGAGTGGTTAAAGACTAAGGCACAGGAGTTGGACAGACCTGCATAGGAAGCAGCTCAGCTTCTTGTAATCTGTGTGTCCTGGCAGGTTATTTAACTTCTATAGGCTCAGTCTCCTTATAGTAAAACTAGAGCCATGAATAGAACATGCCTTACAGGATGGTTGTAAGGATGAGGTGAAATGGTGCGGGTCAGTGCTTAGCAAAGTTCTTGGAAAATAATCATTATGCAATAAATATTATTACTAATACTAAGAAAAAGTCAATTATGGTTAATCAGATGGATGGAAATATGAAGCTACAAGGAAAATGTTTAAGGGGTTATAGTGGATGCTCTTGGTACCTGGCTCAGATTCCATTTGCTAGACTGGTACACATCCCCTCCCCCCTTGTTGGCTGCTCATGGTCATAGCTGCCTCATTGTTCACTCACCCTACCCCTACCTGGGGGAAGACATCAGCCAGTGACTGGCTGATGGACATGGGGTCAAAAGACTGGCCTACTTGCCTCAAAGTGTAACCAATTCTCCTCTGTTTTGGAGAGCCATGCCAGTCGTTTATCAGTATTCACCTAGATCTATTCTAAATGACTTCACGTGCCAAACAAGTTGGGGGGTGGGGGTGGTGCAGAATGATTCAGCCTTCCACGTGGAAGGGATCTACAGAAGAGCATTAGCTGCCAGGCCCATATGGAGACTAAAAGGAATGTTAAAACGCAGTAAACTTTTTCTGAAATTTGATTCTGAGATTCCTGGTGGCTAAAGCAGAGAAGAGACACTAAGTAGATCACATGGTTAGTGCTGGTAACAATTTCAGAGAGCACAAAATGCCTTAGTACTTTGGTCTGACAAGAATCTGTCATGTAGGTCTTCATACAAAGTATACCAAGTGATAATAGTGAGAGGTGTCCTCAGTGACATCCAACAGGAAACGTAATGCTGTGTTTTGTACAGTCTTTTCTCAGAGCGTATTCACCGAGGGCTTTATACTAAATTGCTGCTCCTCCCAGGGAAGGGAGGAGGCAAATCAGTATGGTTCAAAGGCACTGCTTTATGGGAATCTGAACTAGTTCAAAGATAAAATCAGACTAAATAAATGAAAACACGAACATAATTTTATTTATTGATAATCCTTGATCACAAGACCAAAAGTTGACATTAGAAATTTCCTTTAAATTCTCCTCTATCCCCCCTACCCAATTCTCTCACTGTATTTTTTGATATATATACAGGCAGTCCCCAGGTTACGAACGAGATCTGTTCCTGAGTCTGCTTTTAAGTTAAATTTGTAGGTAAGTCAAAACAGGTGCATATGGTTCTTATTTAGCTTTTCTTTGGTGCAAGAAAAGGCTCTAAGTCTTTTCAATTATTCAAAAGCTGCATGTGCAGCAAGTGAAGGTGATTGTGATGAAGAATTTGTTGCCAGTAGAGATTGGTTTAATCATTTCAAAGTGAGGGCAAATTTACATAACATTAAAGGGCAAGGCGAAGTTGTCTGTAAATCGGACGTTCGTTTGTTTGTAACCCAGGGATTTACTGTATAGGCACAAACCTAGGGGACAGGTTTCCTGTGTTGCTGATTACAGTCTAACTCAGGAATGGGAGGGTCATAGTGTTTGGTGAAAACTGAGTTGTCAACCAAGACAGGTAACTTAACAGAGGCCTACTCCACCTTGCAAGAGAGGTGGGCTGAGAGAACACTGTCATCAGAACCAGGACTTTCCAGCTTTTTCTGGTCGTGGTGTATTTTTAATCTGGCCTTCAAAAAGATGTTCTGCAGATTTTTTGTTTAGATACACACAATGGCTTCCCATCGCGTCTTTACTTACACATGCTCTATTCAGTTCAAATCACTTTCAAGGAGGGATAAGTTAAACAGCAAATGGAGAGTTTACAGTGGATTGTACATATGTCAGAATTTTCTGGTAACACATCATACCCATCATTGCAAAGATAAGTTCAAGGAGTGGTATTAAATATCACTCTTGCTGCTGTTCCAAATCTGTTACTCACAAAGCACAAGAACTGTCTCCTTTCCTACAGTGAAAGATATGAAACAACAAAGCTGCTGGTCTTGAGAAAGAATGTCCCCCTCTCTTAAAAGAAATGTTCTTAGAGGGTGGCCTGGATTGTTTTCCTTTAAGATTTTCTAGAAAGAACAGATGTAACAATTTTCTATAATTTGCCTTGGTGCAGATGCTGAAAGAGAACATTCACCATAAAATATATGCAGTGTATGTAATTTCAGCTGGATGTTCTGGGGTTTTAAAGTACAAATGTGTACCTGCAAGCTGTTTTAAATGGTTTCTTAGTCATAATTATCTCTGTTACACAGAAGGCTACAACCGCAACTCCTCCTTCCTGTGCAAGCTTTCCAAAAATATCTTGATAATTTTGTGTATTTTGCAAGGCCCAGTTTTCTCCTTGTGTTTGGCTTGGGAAGTGTGTTAAAATGTTAAAATTTCTCTTTGTGATAAATTTACGAAGTGATCCCACCAATGGGGACAATAATGGATAATCTGTGGAAGAAGCATTAGCAAAGGGTACAGCAAATAGAATGGGTCTCAAGTAATAAATGCAGCAAAATAACTTCAGCTAAAATCACGTACAGCCCGACTGGAGACAATGCTTATTTATTGCAACCACATTATTATATTGATAAAATGGGAGAAGAGTGGTGGAGAGGGTGGTTAAAATTCTTAATGGCAGCAGCTTGATACCTTTCTCTAGGGAGCTTGTGCTTATGCGTGTGGCATTTCTCAGGGGATGGATAAGGAGAGGGGCTGGGGCGTCACTGCCACGCCAAATCCCCAGACAGTCAATGAGTGAATGCTCTGCTGCACATGTCCTCTGCCAGCTCAATGATTGACCCTCCCTCCAATTGTCAGCCCAATTCACTGTCATCGTATCGTGTGTCCCAGCTTCACAGGCATATGTTTTCTGGAGTAATTACAACATGGCATGCTTCTGTTACGCACGTACTGGTCGAGCACCTAGAATGCAGTTGTTCAATAGTTACCATTGGGGTTCCACTGGTCCTCTCCGCCCAACACGAACAAGAAGTTTTCTACCTCCACAACACAGTGGTGGGCACTGTTGTATGGCATAACTGGAGTAAAGAAAAAAAAAAAACGCATGAAATTTTCCACCTTAGAACTTGATACGTTGGCTCACTAGTTATTTGCTTTCAGTGAAGTGTCTAAAACGTGATACCAAGTCAGGAGGAAGAAAGGAGCCTAGGCAGTCAAGCGGGGCGCCCGCCAATCCAGAGAGCCCTACACCATGGCTCAGTGGTGTGTTCACAGCAGCTTCAAACCTAACCCCTTTTGATTAATTTTACATAATGTTATTCCACAAGCTAGTCAAGAACAACCTGTCATGCTGCTTTCGGATCTTACGTTTTCCTCACCTGCCTGATGATACAGACGGCATTCTGAAACAATGACTGACACTCCATATGGTCAGGGCTGCCGTTACTTCTTGGAAGAAGTTACCTTGAATGCACTTTGAGCCATGAAGACGCTCTGCCTCAACTTGGTTTGCTGGCAATCTTTCCAGAAACAGACTCAGACAGCTTGGGTGCTTTCTATTCCACAGCCATGAGCAAGCTGAATTTCCATACAGTTTTAAGTTTTTAAATTAAGGTCCTGCTGATTTAATGCCTCCTCCAAATGTATATGCTTAATTTCCTGTACAATGTCATTAGCAGCACAATCACACATTTTCTATCTATCTATCTGCTTAGGAGCTCTTCTGGAACAAAGATAAAAACTGTCAGGCACATCACAAATTTCCATTCTCCTCGCCTTTCGCTTCTCTCTGCCCAAGTGTGGTGGCTGTGGCGGGGGGCGGGGGCGTTATTCAGAAAACCACTAAAGCTAGATTTCTTCGTATTTGTTCCCGTTGCTGTTTCCTTCAGGGGGACACACAGCACCAGAGTAGGCTTCCCCTGGCACCCTGTGCACTGTGCTGTGCTAGTCTCTGCTATTATAATGTCATATGGTAAATATAAACTTACACAGCATTAGTTATCATATCACATGCAGTGGTGTGGGCCCAGTGACACCAGAAGGAAAAATGATGTCCTTGTTCAGCTCATCATATGGGCACCTTAAATCTAGGTGAGGACAAATGGGGAGGTGATGCGCATGTTCAGGCAGGAAACTTATTGCTTGACACGGATCAACAGAGCACTTAAGAAACCAGTGCAGTGGGAAATCAATATGAGTCAGGGCCAGCTCTTACTTCGTGCTCTTTTGCCAATGCCAAGAGAGAAAGAAGAGGGTGGAGAGAGAAACAGCCTATCTCAATAATTCCGGGTGATATATATTTCTCTTTTAATTTTGTTTTTATTATATTTTATTTTTCTCAGAATACACTTAGGCAGGCCACGATATATAAATAAAAATACTAAGAAACAGGCATAGTGTTGAAACCTAGACCAGCTTGTGAAAGAGTAAATCAGATCATTTAAACTTCTTACTAAAGGGTTTTAGGAGTTTTGATTATTTTAGTTATTTATTTTGACTGTGAATGCTCATTGTTTTTGAACTTATAACCACCAGGGAGAAGGCACTGATACGCAAACTCTGGATTTTGGGGATAATGTAGAAATTGGGTGGGCAGTGGATCTGTGCCCTCTTCAATTAGGTCAGCTGATTTAGGAAGTCGTATCTGGAATGTCCTTTAGATTCCTTAATCCTCAGTTTATTGCTTTGGAGAATGCTTATGACCTATAGGTCCTGCAGGCTTGGCTACTCAGAATCCATTAGGGCAGAATATATGTTAGGTTCATCGAACAACTAAGGTTGAACATACTTTAAACATCTTTTTTTCCAGTGGAACATTCTGAAGCAACTCCTTTGGTCCTATCTCCTGCACCTTAGTCTCCATTGTTGTTGTTAATTGCCATCCAGTCGACACCAACTCATGGCGACCCCATTTGCGCAGAGTAGAACTACTCCCATAGGATTTTCAAGGCTGTGACCTTTTGGAAGCAGATGGCCAGGCCTAACTTCCAAGGTGCCTCTGGGTGGGTTCAAACTGCCAACTTTTTGGCTAGTAGTGGAGTGCTTAACTGTTTGTGTCACCAGGGACTCTTGAGCATATTTAAAAAAAAATTAACTCATCATTGTTTAGATTACGATGCTGGTCTCCAAATACCAGAACCCAAACTAGGCTGCCCATGTTATACTGTGAACAGCCTGGTGCTATTCTAGTTCATCGTAATGTCATATGGCCTGTGTCAGCTTATTCAGCATCAGTTTTCACCCGGGATATATCCATTCACCATGAGACATCATGAGTGTAGGAACAGAGGCTATCAACTATAACCAACTTACTTTATGACTGCCACTGTTTGAATATTTATTTTAAACTTTTGGTCAGTTCAACTCCTAAATCTTACAAATTCTATTTAATCCCTTGCTTTTAACCAGAAGTCCAGCTTTATAACAAAGCGCAGTCTTCTAAAAATATAACAACACTTGTGTTTTGTTCTTACTGTTCCTTTGCTCCATTCAGGCAAGCAGAAATTAAGTGAAGGAAATAATAGATGATTTATTTTTAAGCCTCCTTCTCATTTGATTACCCCTATTGTTGTGCGCTATGCAAACAAATGAAACCATTGCACATTCGCTAACTATTGAACCCTTCCAAGTAAGAGAGAGGAAGCATTGTAAGTCCTAATATAAAGCCTACTTGAAAGTATTCTCATTTAGCTATACATTTTTACTTTTGTTTTAAAACCTTGTATGCTATATTTCTTGGCACTTCCAGTATTCTCCTTTCTGAATTATTGTCTTTTCTGAATTATTACTGTAAGTTGAGAGGCTATAAACATACACAAATAACTCTTTGAAATTATTCCGAATGTAAAATGCTCTCAAATTTATTAGGAAAAAAGCTATATTAAATCAATGTTTGAGTTTTACAGGCTTCTGATGAAATCTGAAGGAAAATAAAATAAATAGGGCAGTGAACAAGAGTAAACAACTTGTTTAAAATGGCACTGGGTACTATGCTTATTGATGGTCTTTTAAATAACGCGAATACATGCCTGGTTCTTTTCCAGATTTCTCCAGAGGTGAACGAACAACTGCCTGGCCCTCCTAAGAAGGTATTTGAGGCGAAGTTTGTGCTCTATGTCCATATACAGCCCAGTGTGAGTTTTTAGCGTGTCAGTCAGTGAGTTAGAGGGAAAGGGTAAAGAGAAGCTAATCAGGATGAAATGAGATTAAAGGCTGTCTAATTTTACAGCAACTGTGATCCATCAGCCACTGTGAAAGTGACAGTGGAAATGAATGATGGAGACAGACAGGTGGGGCTGTACATTTCACTGATTTATCCTCAAATGCACTGGGCCTTATTTTATTGAGTGAACATGACCGCATTTATCATGACTGTCATCTAAACCCACTTCCCTCCATTTAAAAAGGTCACTTTACTCAGAGGAAGTAGGAGAGAGGCACTTTCAAATCAGATTTAAAATCCAACAACACGTGTTTATAAGGCCCTTTGCAAGAATTCTCAACTTTATTAAACAAACTGGCAGTGCTAGAAGGAAAGGAAAAAAAGCCAAAGTGCAAAAACAAGAAACCTTTGATCATCCGAGCGAACAATTCATTCAGTCTCTAAATTTGAAGCAATTTGTGAGGAATTTGCCTTTCCCACTCTCGTCACCACAAAATTCTATCCTAGTCTGGGAAATCAGATGAACATTTACATTTAATATTTGTAATTAAGAAAGTAGGCAGTAGGTAATACTATAAAATAAACCTGGAGAGGATATTAAGTCACAGTATTTACTCTGCAGAACGACATTAATCATCACACAGTAAATAGCCATTAGTAATCGTTGTAAGCTGTGTCAGTCTCTGCCACAATTATCTTGTATACCTGTTAATTGTTTCCTCATAATTTGAAGACCATAAAAATCTCAGTTACATAAAATCTTATATCCTTCTCTGTACAAGTGCAATAAAACGTCATGGAATGTTATGCACAAAATTGGTCGTTGTGGATGTGAAAACTAAGAGTCACACCCTCAGAGTGTTTTGTGTTACTTTTCACAATAATAACCACCATTTACCAAACACTATGTTACAGATACTGTGTAGGTACTCCACTTCTATTATTTCATTAACACAACTAACTACAAGCGAGGCGTTACTCACCATTTTATTTCTACAACAAACACTGAGGCCTTGAGGGGCTAACGAACCTGTTGAAGGTCATATTCAGCTGGTGAATGGCAAAGATAGACTCCAAACACAGGGATATCTGGATCCCAAACCACGCTCGTATCCATTTCACTCTACTGATTTTCAATAGGTATGTTCATCCAACCAGCAAGTAATTACTGAGTACCTGTGTGTTCAATGATGGTGTTCTTGAAAATTGTGTATAATTTTTACATTGAATCATATTTTAAAGGTGTTTATTAGTTTGATGTTTAAAGGAATTCTTAAATAAGGCAAGTAGACCCTCCTTCAAATTTTTTTTTCTATAAACCTGGATATTTACATAGTTTTCTTAAAGCAAAGTAGATTTGCTTGGTGAAGCCAGACAAACACTGAAAAAATCTGCCAGTTAAGGATGAGTAGAGTCTATTAATATACACATATATATAAATATATATATCTATATATATAGTTTTTAAGGACTTATTTCAATCTTTCAGGTAAATTCAAAATATCTTGGGCCCAGAAGCCCTTTTCTTGGCACATAAAACTTCCAGTGGGCATGTCTGTATTTATGAAGGCTTTATTCTGCTAGAGATCTGCATTACTCTATTCTCCCTCTTATTTTATATCTAAGGAATGTATACCTCTTCCCCACCACCCATCTTTCAGTTTGTCATACTGTGATGGTTTGCGTGTTGCTGGAAGCTATACCACTGGTATTTCAAATACCAGCAGGATCACCCATAATGGAAGGTTTTAGTGGAGCTTCCAGACTAAGACAGACTAGGAAGAAAGGCCTGGTGATCTACTTCTGAAAAGTAGCCAATGAAAATCTCATGGATCACAACAAAACACTGTCCAACTCACTTGTTTTGGACATGTCATCAGGAAGGATCAATCACTGTGAAGCAGAGGGCCAGTGAGA